CTTAGAAGTATTCGCGAATCAGGAGACAAGATCACAGGAACAAGATCTGTTAGGTTCAGACTCGAATTAATAATCAGAGATAGTATCATCGCAGTGGATTAAGTTAATAGGTAAAACCTTTGCCGCTGCGATCTCCAGGCCTGGTTCCGTAGGGGAAAGTGAAATTAGAAGGAAGAATTAGCGCATTCCCTGCAGGGGAAGTGGAGAATAGGTAAGATGAAGTTGGCTGTAGGACGAGTGCACAACCACTGTCGAGGGGGCCGGTATCGTAAGTTTGTCAGTGTAGCAGTCATCATAGTATCTACAGGGCGCTCTTTGTGTGAATTAACCGCAGGGAGATGATTAGGCAGACCGGATTGGCGCAGGCAGGCACTGGTGCGTGCGCACTTGCTACCAGCCGCGAGAGGTTGAGCGTTGCACGCGGAGTTAGGTCCCATCCTTTATGTTAGGCATATTTTCATTTAGAATGAGGAACTTGACAGTTGATGAAAAAAACATTTAGTGTCCCACTTTTCACCCCTCGTTCTGAAATCCGCTCAGCAACGTGCTCAGATATCAGTCAGCCGGTTAACGCTTCCTCACCGTTGTTGTACGATGGATTCTCAAATCTGGTGGTTATTTTGGAGGACAAAGTCGGCAGTTCTAGGACAGAGTGTGGTAGAATACCATATTGTAAACGCACTTCATAACCAAATCATGAAATATTAAGGAGGACACAGCGATCGTGTTGTCTGAAAGTTCAAACAGTCGTTATTTCGCTAGAATAGCTGCTGCTGCTGCTGATGCTGAATGAATCATAAACTTTAAATAGCCTCCCACCGAGGACAATTTACCTGGTAAACGGACCAATCCTTTCTAGTCGTCTTCAAAAGCCTAGTGTAAGATAGCTAAAGCCGTCTGTTGATATCTGTTTATTATGTGTGCTACCGGGCCATTTTAGGAAATTTTCCCCAATGAGTTCACAAGCGGTGATGGCAAACCCGCGCACAAGGATTTCGGTCACTTCTTTGGCTCAACCTACGTAGCTGGTCCGGACGGCTCACGAACCCCGGTTAGTTTTCTGTGTTGCTTTGCTGACACTAAGTTCCCTTTCAGGTTTGTCTGGTAGGAAAGTTTTGAAACAGCCAGCTGTAAGTATTGCAATATAGACTAGGCCCAGTGAG